ACAGCATCCTTAATTTCCTCTTTTCCATTGTCCTCTTTTTAAATTCCTCTTGACATTGTTAGAAACTTTCACTCTGTCATCCCAATCTACAGTAAATGTGGCAAATCAGATTTCCATATGCCCCATAGAAAGGAATGGAATTAGTGTATATACACAAATATGTTCCATATGTATTCCTTAAACAGTAGGTTGCACAAATGATCAGTGAAATCTTCTAAAGCTGCAATCCTATATCTACTTACTTGGGGGGGGGGGGAATCAAAGTGAATAGGATTCACTTATCAGTTAATGTGCGTAGGATTCAGGGAAGCTATTCAGGGATTTAAAGATTATTCACATATGTAAGCCCTCTACCCATTGCCCTGTTTCCTATGGTTTATGTACATTTCAGTGACTTACAGCCTATTCACTAAAAACAGCTATTAACCTTGTGTACTGAAGCTTGCAAATGTTGTGTCTGAAACAGCCTATAAATTAGGAAACATTTTAAGAAAATGAACAAGCTCGGCATATTTCAAGGCAGAATGAAGCTTCTAATTGTCTTACATAAATGGTGATACAGTTGAATTTTTACATTTTGAGTAATTAGTGTACAAGCTTCTACCTGGGAACGGTTTTCTGAGCAATAAATGAAGGTGTACTGAGACTGAGATGACTTTAGACATCCACATAATTAAGGCTCTCCCTGCTTTTTAGATGGATCTGAAAACAGCAGGGTTTTTACATTGTACTTCAGTCTTGCTTAAGTGAAGTGTGAGAGAATCCTGAGCAGCCCTTAGAAGCCCCTAACCTTCTGGAGAAAATTTGGCAGGGCCATGCGGCCTCATTGAAATAATATAAGCCTTATTCAGGCACCCACCTATTGAGTAGATCAGACATGAGATGAGAAGATACTGTATTTGGGGTCTTAATGTTCGTAAACCACCCCGAGAGCCCTCTGGGCTATTGGGGTGGTATATAAATGCAATAGATAGACAGACAGACAGACAGACAGACAGATCGATCTTCAGTTCTGTCCCTGTTGTTTATCATATTGCTAGTACTCTACTTGTGACGGGAGACTGTAAAAACTCTTCCTGCAATTCAGACCATGGATTTCCAGCCTTCAGATTCATTTGGAGAACCTCCACAAACACAGAAGGGGCTTCCCTTCAGATGGTTGGCATCTATGAGTAGAGGACAGTGAGAGAGAGGTAGGACTGGAGCATTCCCTCTCATCATATGTCTGATCCACCTGGTAGGTGTAGCACCGGAAAGGTGTATAGACAGTGTGGATGCTATCTTCAGTGCTCTCTGCCAGGAGCAGGAATGTTAAGGGGTTTGGTGGAGAGTGGGGGACTTGGTAGGGTGTAGCATTGGGAGCTTGCTTGAAAAATGTATATGTCTTTGTAAGGGACTACTACATTTGTAAATACCATCCAATTTGGACTAATACAAAGCCATCATTCCCACTTGATTTACTCCTTTAATCTGTTATTTTTATTGTTCACCATTGTGGAATTGCCACAATAGACTATGGAGCAGCCTGCACATTTTATATATGTAATAAAAATGATTGTGTTGATTTCCAATGGTAACAGCCAGGTCTGCATGTCATAAGAAACCATGGTGATTTTTTACCAGTTTGTCTGCCATGTCATCAGAACACAGTCACGATGCTTCAGTGCAGTTGGTTTGCTTTCCCAAAGCCACAGAGAAATTCAATGGCTTGTTCTCAGGGTTTCATACTTGACTGTAGCCTCTTGGGTCATCTGGACCTGGGAGCTCCATTTTGTCATTGGTGGTGAGTCAGCAGGACTTTGAAATTAGCACGTTTCTTTCTCACTTCTTTCTCACTTCCTCTCTTCTCTCAGTAAGGAGTGAATAAACTAACCAGAAAGGAGATATCCCAAAATGCCAGGATGGGATGGGGGCTTACTTTGTAATTTATTTATTTTTTAATTTTGAAGCGTATATATTTCTCCATCCCCTTTTTTCTACTGCAGAACTCAAGGTAACTAAGAGCAAAGATCATATCAAATGATATGAGACTAATGAAATGACCATCAAAACAGCTTAATAAAATGACAACAGCTGTCAAAGGAAAGACCTAACAGCACACAGAATGCAATTACCTATCATATAGCCCTCCTGGAAAATTTTTTCCTCCTAGCTCCTTGAAAAGCTGTATCTTTACAAGATGATGTAATATGCACATACAGATACACACAAATAAGGGTTGGGGGATGTAGTCTTTCCATTTAAAAAGGACCCTGCCCTTTTTTATCATGCACCTGATCTTCACTGGTGTGGGGACACAGAGCAGAAACTCAGATGTAGATAAAGATTCAGGAAGGACTGTAAGACACCCACCCCCGAAACCATTTGGGGCTTAAAGGGGAGAAGGTTGCAATCTCCAGATTTGTACTGCACCCCTACAATCTTGGGCAAAGCCTCAGTCCACTCCAGTTCTTCATGCCTTCTCCTACCTACTATCGTGCACACCTGGAATCTTGGTTTCATCTGGTAGACAACAAGGTAGGGCAAACAGACAGATCGCAGACAAAATATATGGTAGATCACCACTGTAATGTATCTTCCTTCCTTTCTCTGGTTGCAACCTAGCAACAGTAAGATCAAGTAGGATATTACAGCAACATTGCAAAGTAACTTCACGGCTCAAATCCAGAGGAAGCGAGTTGCTATGGGATCAAAACCCAGACAAGTTTCTGGAGACTGAAGTACATGCACTTAATGTCTACTTGGTGACAATGAAGGGTTTTGAAAAAGAGAATGAATTTTGTTTACTGTTCCTTTACCTCTGTCTGTCGAAAAGCAACTGAGGCAGTAAAAATCTAGTTTCCTCTCTCTCTTTCTCTGTATGCAGTCACAAGTATGAACATTTCACAAATGTGTCACCCACAGCCAGCTAGGAGAGTTCCTAATGAGTTATTAGTTGAGCTTGCAGTTCTGGAAATGAGCAAGGATGTACGTGCAGCATGGCAGCAGAGAGGACCATTCCCACTACGCACACTTCTGGCTCTTGCTGAGAAGACCAGTTCTGCTGCCAATATACGTTATGGATGCGTGTGCACATGGTTGTTTTCAGAGCTGCAAGATTCATTAACAACTCATTAAGAACTTTGATTGCTCATTCTTTTCTATCAGCTGTCAAATTCTGGAAGGAGAAAAAAATTAGCCCTGTTCAAGGTGCTTTTTTAGAACATTATAATTCCAATTTATAAAATAATTTCAGACAGATTTACAGATTTCATCACTTTGCAGCTTTTCTTAGGAGTCAGTCTGCAAATTTAGGTGTCTGTGATGGGGTCCTTAAGGGAGAAGGCTGGGGCTTGAGGGTGCAACTGGTCCAAGCAGAGGGTGCAGCCCGCTGAGTTCACCATCAGTAATCATGAATATGTGCCCACAGTTTTGATGCAATTTTCTCATTTCTCTTGTTTTTATAAAATTTGAGAAAAAATAGAATGCAAGGACAAGAAGAAAAGAGAAAAGGCAAATATGTAGCTATTGGGTACTTTTTTTACATTTACCATTGAGTTTTATTTCTTCTTGCCAAGGACAGCAGAACTGAAAGCAATTTAGATGAAAGAAAAGGATTTTACACCTGTCTCATTAGTTAGGTGATGGAAGGATGGCAATTATGAGTCAAGGTAAAAAAGATAAATCTGTTACGCAAAATAAAACAGAAACAGAAGTTTTCAAATCATTTTCCATGGAACAAAAGGAGGACATTCACTACAAGAAATCAGGCAGAATAGCATCTGTTCCCTGATGTTTCCCGTGAGTTAAGAATGACATATAATTTGATACATGCCTTTTGACATGCGCAGTTCATTACCAGTTGTTATAGGATGTGTCATCAATTAGCTAAATCAATGTCATAGTTGTGATGGTTGAATAATGCATTATGTTTTATCATTAGCTGAGCACAAATTAGAAATGTTTGCATACTCTGTGCCAAGAAGGAAATCCCAATTCGGCTTATGGGAGCTGGTGCAGCACAGCCATCACGGTGCTTGGGCAGTCCAGGGTAATCCAGGTTCTGGTCCCCAGCTGGCTGTGAAGCTCACCTGGCCACCTCAGCCCTGGCAGCAACACTCAGCTCACGGGGCTTTGTGGATAAACCCAGCCACCTGTCAGGGCAGCACAACCCTCTGTGGGACTTCGGCATTCTTCCGCAAAGCCAAAGGGAGTTCATAACAGAGTGACTGACGTGTGCAAGAAAAAGAAGGAAACCGTCTCCCCAACTTATAGTACATTTAAAAGGTTTCTTTTCTGCACCAGTCTCTAGAGGCCCGAAATGATGCTGCTAATATTATACAATCTCAGCCAGAAAGCTCCCTGCCAACAGAATTGGGGGGGGCACACCGGGAGCCCCTGCTGGATCCCTCATTGCACTCAGGAATTGTGCTGCATCTGATGTTGCTTTGCCAAGCCATGTAGAAATCTGAAAGGCATCTCAGCAGCACCTCCTGCACCCACGCACCCTTCCTCTCTATTGGCTGATCAGTGGACTGAAGGTGGAGCGTGCCTCTGACTACTTTTCCCCTCCCAACACAGTAGCAGAAGTAGTGACAGGCAGGCAGGCTTTTCACAGAAGGATGAGTTGTATTTATGGGCTGAAATGCTTTTTCAGCTGAGCATTTTAGACTTTGCTGCTTTCCTCTTATAGATAATCACAGAAAAGTGTGTCTCAAAACTCCAGGCTGCATGAGAAGGAAAACGGATTCAGCTGTATCGTCCCAGTGGATGTAGGCAACTGTGGACTTGCATAGGCAAACACTGACTGCAAAAGTCTATGACTTGGAGTCCGGCTTCCTCCAGTTGTACAGCCACCACTGCCTGAGATGGTGTTAATCCTGTTAGCTCAACAGCTCAACAGCCAGTGACAACCCCAGCAAACCATTCCAAGAAGTGCAGTGACTAGGGAACCCGTGGGTCGAACTAGCAAGCAGCAAGCTGGCAAACAGCCACCTGCCTTCAGACCAGTGATTTGTAAGATGAATTTCACGCGCCAATATGGAGTTCATCAGCCTCTTAACGCCTGGAATCACAGCTCCCGACTACGTGGCAGCAGATCGGCAGGACAGGGCTACTCTTCAGAAGGGTGCTACGAGCAACTTTTCGTCTCTCCCGAAGTGTTTGTCACTCTAGGATTTGTCAGCTTACTAGAGAATGTCCTGGTGATCGTGGCCATCGCCAAGAATAAGAATTTGCACTCACCGATGTATTTCTTCATCTGCAGCTTGGCTGTGGCCGACTTGCTGGTGAGTGTCTCCAATGGGTCAGAGACCATTGTGATCACCCTGCTGAACAACACGGACGCCGACGCGCACAGCTTCACGGTCAGCATTGACAACATCATTGACTCTGTGATCTGCAGCTCCTTGCTCGCCTCCATATGCAGCCTGCTGTCCATAGCCGTAGACCGGTATGTCACGATCTTCTACGCTCTGCAGTACCACAACATCATGACGGTGAGGCGCGTCGGGATCATCATCGCCTGCATCTGGGCTGCCTGCACCATCTCGGGCATCTTGTTCATCATTTACTCTGACAGCAGCGTCGTCATCATCTGCCTCATCACGATGTTCTTCACCATGCTGGTTCTCATGGCCTCCCTCTACGTCCACATGTTCATGCTGGCCCGGCTGCACATCAAAAAGATTGCCATCCTCCCCAGCACTGGCTCAATTCGCCAGGGGGCCAACATGAAAGGAGCCATCACTCTGACCATCTTGATTGGGGTGTTTGTGGTGTGCTGGGCCCCACTCTTCCTCCACTTGCTTTTCTACATCTCCTGCCCTCACAATCCATACTGCATCTGCTTCATGTCCCATTTCCACTTGTACCTCATCCTTATCATGTGCAATTCGATTATTGACCCCCTCATTTATGCATTCCGGAGTCAAGAGCTGAGGAAAACCTTCAAGGAGATCATGTGCTGCTGCAGCCTGAGACAGCTCTGCTTTTTCTCTGGCAAATACTGAATGGACACAGATAAGCGACTTGCATTTAAACACTTGCTGCTGAAATGGATCTTTCATCCAGTGCTGCTGAAAGCCTGTGCTACATTCACCACAAGGAATCTTGTTCTTCAGTAATTGTATTTTTCCTCCTTCTCCAGTGATTATTTAAATGTTGAAGCGTTGGGGATGAGTAGGTATGCCCCAACAGGCTGTGATTAAAAGGAAATGTCTGTGTGTTTTCCAGATTGTAGATGCCAGTAAAATGATGCTGTGGTTTAGGAAGAAAATGATTGCCTTCATATAAGGATATGTGCGAGTCTCTTAGCATTGCTCCAGGGGGGTTGCAATCCCATGGTCTCCTGACTGCCTCCTCTGGGAAGCCGTAGGATTCTTCCCGAGTCCCAGCACCGAGTTTCTGTGATCTCAGAGGTGGGACTCTGAAGGTTAAGCTCTAATCCTCTCCCTTCACATCTGGTGTAAAAAAAGCATCGTGCCAGCTGCTGCTCCCCTCGCCCCCACCCAGGGTTGCAGCTGGGCCTTTGTGGGAGCACTGGAGCTGAGGACTGAGCATGGATTTTGATCTGTGCCCAGACTGCCTCCTGCTCTTTCCCTCTCTGTCGTAGGGTTCACAAAACCAAGCTGAAAACAGCTTAGGGGAAATGCAGGGTGAAAGGCACAGGTTGGTGGAGATTGTAGCTGCCATTGGATGCTTGACTGCCAATGCATTTGGAGGCTGAAGTGCACCTGCCTTGGAGGAAACAGGAGTTGCCCCAAGACCGCACAATCCTAGAGCAGTAGAGTTGGAAGGGGCTGTGAAGGCCATCGGGTCCAACCTGCTGCTGTTGCAGGACAAAGACGCTTATGTTCAAAAGCAGAAGCTGTTGTGGGTGTTTCTGTTTTCCTTGAAGATACACAATGGAGTTAAACAAAAATACCTGTGGGCAGTATTAGAAGGTTCTGCTTGTCTTCACATTGATTTCAGATGTATCTTAAAGAGGCAGGACTATTCATATTTTATCAAGACACCTGGTGGTAAACTTAGAAATATGATTGCTCAATGATAGTCATTAAATGTATTTGATGAATTGAAGGTTATGCTATAAACAGGATACCAAATAACTCAGTGTCATTCAGTCTTTTCATGCCAAACTATTTGATTGTACATGGCATTTTGAATTCCTAAAAGATGAAGCGTAGCCACCAGAAAGGTCAATCAAGCAGTCCCACTGGAGAGAATGGCTCCTATTAATTCCAGGAGCTGTTCCAGAATTCCTCAATGGATTGTGTACAGTATTTGTCTATTTATTATTACTCCCGCATCTTAGGTGTTTCAGGCAAGTCCAGGGTAGCTACTAAAAGACAATTGTAAAACATACACATTTCTTAAGAGCAATTCTAGAAACCCATGTATGTTGCTGCTGCTACAAATAACAAAACCAAAGCAACAGAACAGTAACAGGACCTTATGAAAAGAAGCTCTTTATCCCAATTCCAAGTGCCCTGCAGGATACAAGATCTTCACCTGCCTTCTAAAAGCAAGACTTTTACAAATATTTCCTTGAAGAAGTCACCAGAAGCAGGGCTTTTTCTATGTTGGCCCAACTTCTCTGGAGAACCCTCCCTAATGAAAAATGGTCACTTCTGTGTGGACTCCTTCAAGGAAGTCCTAAAGACCTTTTTATGCCAACTGGTTTTGGGATCACTTCTGCTACAGTAACTATTTCATCTGTCATCATCCTGTTAAAGTACTTTCATCAGCTGCTGAGCTTTTTAACCTGATTTTGGAAAATTCAGACATCCTAGATGCAAAGAGGAGAGCTGAACAACATGTAAATATATAATGATAAGGCTGGGGAAAGAAGAAGGGAAAAAAACAAAAGAAGGGGAAGGGGGAAATAGATAAAAATTCCCCCCCTCCCCCCAAAAAAAGATGGCATGTACATCTCTTTGTAGGCTGTATTGCTTTAGAAGATTTCACTGTATAAACTGGAATGTATTTATTATTCCTGTTTGGAAAAAGTCTCCACTAAGTGCAATGAAGACTTTGTATTATGTGGTTAGTTTACTGAACTGAAAGTTAACTCACACTTCTTTCAATATCCTTGTCACCATACTTTATTTATTTAAATTAAAGTAAAAAAACCCCACAGTGATTCATCAGTAACAACAACAACAAAACCTTAATTGCTGGGAAGCCAATTAAATCTGAAGAGAAGCAGAGGCAAGACCACTTTAAAGATACCCAAGGGGAAAGAGAGAGAAGAAAGTAGATTTAGAGAGCACTGGAGAAAGCAACCACAAGGAACAGATCCTAACAGATTCTTCCCAGAAGTCATCTTCTGTGCAGCCTAGTTTGTTTTCCTTAGGATGGTTGCTAAGGACAGCGTTGAGCATAACAGCTATCAAGTTAAGAAGGACTGAAACCCTTACACAATTATAAGAGCCTCCTTCCTCCCCTAGACCCATTTGCTCCCCCCCCGCCACCCCAGCAAAGGATTTTCACATCTCTTTCTCTTATCCTTTTTATGCTTAATAAACGTCACATTGTGATAGATAAACAATGAAAAAAACATATAATTGAACTAATATGCATTCTAATGAACACTGCAATTATTTTAAAAGTAGATATTTAACCTTGGAAAATTACAAGAAATATTTCCACTTAATAAAGAAAATAATTATAGAAGTACAATTCTATATCACTCAAACTATCTTGGTGCTGTATTTATTTATTTAAAGACTTTTCTATACTGTTAATTATTTGAAAGAATCTCAGGATGGTTCCCAGAAGTTAAAAACAAGGCAGTTAAAACCCCCACAGTGCCAACACCTGATATTGGAGGACATGAAGGGGCCACCCTTGGTACGTGCACCCAATCATGCACAACAAGGAGTGAGAAGAAAAAATGGATTTTTATTCTCAAGAAGATCGATCATAGCAGCAGAGCAATTGACCTAGAGCACATGATACAGTCCCCTTTTTTTTAACCTTTGGAAATGGATTGAAATTCCCACTGTGGTTGCTGGTTGGTACATTCAGTGGGTTCCATTCTTAACTATGCCAGGAAATCTCAATTAGCAGGTGAAAATGCATTTTGGATACACATGGAAGACGCCACACTCAATTTCAGCAGTTTATTGGCAGGACACCCAGGTACCCCTCTCTGGCAGAGAAAAAGCAACAGCACCGTTGGGTAGTCAGTATCCCAAACTGACTACAAGTTTTCTGGAGCATACGCACAATTTTTATAAGTTGTGGGTCATGTACACAGTTTCAGGTCAGTGATGAGGTATGAATGAGGACATTTACATAAGACAATACAAGTACAAATAGAACAATGTAAAGGTGATGTTGTAATGGAAAGGATGTTGCAGTGATACAGGATGTTTGAGTGACCAATGACCAGATAAGCAGTCAAGTGATATGAATTATAGCAGGTCCGGAGTGCAACATTTAACATTCAGAGGAAGGTGATTATATTTGCATGAAGACAATCTAGTCAGCGCTGCTTTGCATAACCTGAAAGCACACGGGAAACTTCGTTTCACTTTCTACCTTCCACTTTCTGCAGAGTAGCAGAGGGATGTTTCAGTTGGCTTAATTGGTTAACTCAAGGCACACACAAGCATTCCCAGCAGATGGCGTGACCTCTCTTACAGATACGCTGTGACACGCAGCCTCTGGGTGTCCATGAGCCGCTCTGAAGCAAATGGATGAATGCTGGAGCCCTCCAGCCAGCCTGCCCTCCCAGGCATGTGCGGCTGGTCTCTGAGTAATGCCAGATTTTGTATTAAATGGCATACAAAAGGATTTTTTTTTAATTTGAAGGCTTTATTTGAACTTTCTCGACACCATGGAGGCTGGCCTACCTGGGGCTGGGGCTGGGACTTGGGGCTCAGGCGAGGGATTACGCAACCCCTGCCTGCGTGTGTCCTCACTCTGGTGACACAGATATCGTAGGGAACCAGGATGGCCACGCAAGTCTGAGCAAGCCTCAGCATGTCGTACGAAGCTAAATGCAATAGTTAAAAAAACACTATCCAGCAATTTTAAAAACTGGACAAATAAAATGGTACTGGCCTGGTGTCAGAATGAATGTGTTCCATAAACAGGATGCTGTGGTAGAAGAGGCCCTTCCTGTAATGGCCCTCCTTTCCTCTGTCCAGGATGCCCTTGGAGAAGGGCCTCATCTGCAGAAGAGATTGCTCCTTTAGCTATCCGGGCCCCGGACCATGTAGGACTTTATATGTCATCATCATCACCTTAAATTTAGCCCCTACATCAACTGATAGTGTCAGAGTCTTCTTACCAATGGCAGGAATGAACACTCAGACCCACAGGGAAGATTGAATCTCCATGAACCCCACTATTTTTGTTTGTGAGATCATGCAGGACCCCCTGCAGTTTGCTTACAACAGCATGCTACTGGGTGGTGGTCCTCACAGCCAAGTACAAGCTTTTAGAACATATTCAGAGTGTTTTATAGGTTCTGAGTCATGTGTGCACAGCAGGGCAAATGAGGACAAAATAATGAGGACACAGTCAAAAAGAATGTGAGAGATCTGCAGAGGAGACTTAATACAATAGCACTGATTACAGGAAATTAACATAACGGTCATTGAGGCACAGCGATTATTGTGGGCTTGGCTGTGAGTTTGATCATGCAAATTAGGGTGAATGCAATGCTGCTAAAAAACTTTTCTGGCTGCCTTATCAGATTTGCTCCTGCTAGCACAAGAATAGCTGCTCTTGGGCAAGCTAAAAGTTCCAGTCTCCTAAAGGAACAGCAATGCTAAATAGTAACCAGGCTTGGAATTCTGCTAGTTCTGAGAAAGGGGTGCAGGCTTGATTTTATAACACAAAAGCACATCTAAGCAACCTTCCTCTACCACGGTTTATCTGAATTTCCTTGCAATAGCCAGTGTAACTGGCATAAAGCTGGTATGATATGTTCCCATCTAGAAGTCCCAGTCAACAATCTGGCAGCTCTATTTTGAATCAATTGCAGTGTCCGGGCCAT